TCTGGTGGTCGTTTCGACCTCTTCGTAGTCTCCGCCTAGCTCTTCTAGCACCGGGTATGTTCTTTTGAAATGTGCCTGGACACTCTTATCCATGGTGACGTCATCTGGTTCCACTATTACGACTTTCGTGGTCGCCGATTTATCCCATACGGGGTTTCCTTCTCGTATCGAGGTGTTATTGTAATCGTGATCCTCCCATTTCATCTTGGCGGTCTCCACCCAATCTGCGTACGTCGTCGCCTTCTATATTTTCAGCCTGTCGTCTTGCTTTTTAATATCTTCTATCACTTCTTGAGTCTCTGTTTGTGTTGAGATCTCCCGTACCTCTCTCTTTTTGGTGTCGTCTTTCTTTCTAGTCGGTTGTTCTATCTGGTTCTCCAGCCAGTCTCTAACCGTTTGTTTTTCGAGCACCCTCGCCTGCCTCTGCATGTTTTGCATTACATCCTTTATCTCTCGTTTTGTATTCCTATCCTTATTCTTCTCAAGTTTCTCTATAAGGTATAGGACTTCGTTTATGGCGTCTCTTAACATCTCCGGTTCTTCTCTCATTTCCTCGTTTCCGACTTCATTCTCGTCTTCGCTGCCTCCTTGCATCCTTTTCCGCTTGGTCACGCCACTATCGACGGACCAGCTTCTCAATCGCGCGGGCGTTTGGCTATCTAAATCCATGAAGTGCGGGAAGGTCAAGCAGCCATGCAACGTGGGTTGTTTTACGGCTGCCTCTTCCGTTGGAACTTCTTCCATAGAGACAAAGGTCTGATGAAGGTCTACGACGTCCGATACTACCGGTACTGTTTCTGGCTCGCTCACTCTCGGTGGTGATCGTGACATTCTTGAGCTCTTTTTAAAGACCAGTTCTTGTATTGTATCGTGTCTCACCGGATTCTGTTCGGTGATCCTCCGCTCGCGCGGAATGAGGGTGCTTTTCTTAAAGATATTCAGCTCATCTTCCTTGCCCTGGCTAGCAGGGACCTGTACGGTTTTTTGGCCTTTATAAGCACACGGAGTCGACCCTCCTCCGCGTGTGGTCCGCGGCGCTGCTTGGCCGGCGGACCCATCCGAGGCTTTGGTACATTGTTCCATAAACCATGATTGGAGATGTCAAGCGCCTTCCCTACGCTCCGTTTTATACCTTACCGGCAGGTACACACTTACACGACCTTCACACGACAGCACCCTTGACACTTAAACGCTGAACACTTAATCCCATGCCCCCTGTAACCCCAGACAGGGGCATTTTGTGGGTTATTGTCGCCCGGGACCACGCGACCCCAGCTTTTTTAAGGAGGTATGCTCCTCCACCTGTAAACCCAGGCACGGAGCCCTTTGTGGGGTGCTACCGGCCGGGCCAGCCGGACCCTAGTTTTTTAACGAGGTATGCTCCTCGAGCTCAGGCGGCCTCGGGTTCGCTAAGCCCGTACCCAGTGACTCCTCACTGGGCCCCTGAGGGAAACCCAACCCAACTTTTTTTTTTTTTTTGCACGAAGGAGGGGAAAATGCTTTGCGCACCCCGGCCTACTGTTGGCGCCTTTCCCGATGGTTTGGATTTCTAATTCATTTCGGCCGGGAGTGTGGGACTACGAAAGCCCCTCGCTGCCCACTAAAAACCCCCACTTCCTTCCCGGAACCGCCCATCAGGGCATTTCTTCGGGGTATCTCGTCGATCTTGGTACTATCTTCATACTGCCTCATTAATCCTTTCCCTCATTCTCCTTTTCTTCAATGGACTTTTCTGCGTCATTCCATCGCCTCACTCCGACGCGTGCTTCTCCATTCATTTTGGGGGACATATAATTCATTAGTTTTTTAACTGAAATGTATTGTTAACATACCTGCACGAGGGGGGAAAGTATTCCCCCCTCGTTGCTCCTCTTCAAACCGTCACCACCACCACCATCCTCGATCGCCTACCTCCGGCGTGTCCTCTTCCACTCATTTTGGGGGACATATAATTCATTAATTATTTGAATATAATTTTTTTATTATCATACCTGGGAGAGGGGGGAAGAAAAATTCCCCCCTCATTCATCCTCTTGTTGGTCTAGTCCGCAGTTCTCCGCCCCTTCCAATTCACCATCGTTCCCCCGTCCTTCCCTTCGTCTTTCGCAGTCTTCTTTCATACTGAGAATGTCTTCCAGCATTTTAGACCCAGCTTGCCATTTTGTTTCGCTTTCAAGCATGCTCGGTATAATATTGTTAACGCTTAGCTGTGCCCCACATTCTATCTGACACTTTTCTCTTTGTGCTTTAAATCTCTCGCAGACGAAAACTGTGTGTTCGGGACTATCTGCGGTTTCGCAGAACCAACACGTGTCAGAATCCGCTTTTTTTATTTTTTTCAGGAAGCTTCCGAACACTCCGTGTCCAGACAAGAATTGGGTTAGGTGGTAGTTGAGCTCTCCCCATTCGCGCTGAGTCCATGCTTTGAGGTCTTTTATAATCTGTGCTGTCCATCCGTCCTGCTGTTCCCACCTTGCTTGCCACCGGTTCATAACCTCTTCTCTTGCTTCTTTCCTATACTCTCTTCCCTTCTGGTGTATGACAGTTCTCTCCTCCACTAACAGATCTATCGGAGGCATACCTGCTATTACTTCCGCACTAGTAACGGATACTGTGCAGTAAGCGGCTGCTACCACGATGGCCAACTTTCTATTTACGCTATTAAGCATCCATATATATCGTTTGTATCTGAGTGCACTCTTCCAGGTTGGTGCCGCGTACAGCACCGCAGACAATACCGTAGTAGCCAGGAGCTTTCTTTTGCTCGAACGTGGACCCCCTAAGTTTGGTATTACTCTTCGAAGTGTATTTATCATTCTTGTAGCTTTCTCGCTTATAGCCTCTATATGTTCCGTCATTCTCAGATCTTTATCCAAATATACACCTAGATACCGTATCATTGGGATACTTTCCACATCTCTTCCATCCACCTTCACTACCATCTTTGGAGCTTTTCTCCTTCCTTGTAGCACGAGTACCTCCGTTTTCTGCGCCGCCACCTTAATGCCCATGCTTTCCAGCTTTCGGAATACCTTTTCCACAGCGTAGCTGGCTTTATCTTCGACACTTTTTCTTTCTTTTCCTGTTACGATAAGTGCCAGGTCGTCCGCATATCCAACCATATTGACCCCTGATTCCATTTCCATTCTTAGGATTTCATCATAAAAGATATTCCATAGGGTTGGACCCAAGACTGACCTCTGGGGTACTCCACAGGATATTTCAAATTCTAAACCATTTGGGGCCATTATCCTTCTATCTGACAGATAACTTCGGATTATTTTTTGTAGGTATTTACTCGCGTTTCCCTTCTCCAAGGCCTGAAGTATTCCCTTCCACGGGGCAGAATTGAAGGCATTTTCAATATCTACTGTTACCATAACACACAGTTCTTGATTTTTGAGAGCTTTCTGCTTAATATTGCTCACATAGCTTTGCACTTTTTTAACGGCGTCAATGGTAGATCTCCCTTCTCTGAAACCGTACTGGTTTTCGCTAAACATATTGTTTTCTTTGATCTCTTTATCAAGCCGGTCTCTTATCATCGTCTCCATAAGTTTGCACACGGTTGTTTCCAAACATATCGGTCTATATGTTGTTTTACCCTCAGTATCTTTCTTAGGCTTTTCGATCAAGACCAGATTTGCTATTTTCCATGATCGGGGAAACTCTCCTTTCAATAGGCAGTTGTTAAATATGTTTAAAAAAGTTTGTTTGTTACCCATGACGGTAGCTAGCAATATTTCCGGCGTAATGTTGTCTGGGCCAGGTGCCTTCTTTCTTCTTATTCTAAGTATGGCCTTATCTAGCTCCTCCGTAGTAAAAATAGGTGTTTCTACGTCTGCTTCCATTTCTTCCCGATTCCTCTGTATCCTTGCCTGCTGTGCCGGGAAAAGCTTCCTTACCTGTTCCAGTATAACATTTTCCGCAATCGGGCACCTCTTCTTAAGCTTTAATTTTTTTGTGACAATCAGATATGCCTTACCCCATATATCTTCATTTAGTTCATTTCACAATCTTCTCCAGTTTTCTCTCTTACTATTATCTATCAAACGTTTCAGATCGCGTTTAATTTTCTTATGGCTTTCCATCTTTTCTTCTATTTCCCTTTGCGATGTTCTTTTGCCTCTTAGTCTTGTTATCACCCTTCTGGACGCATTGCATTCCTTTCTCTTTTCCGCTATTTCGCTATTCCACCAATATACTCCTGTGTGTCTATTACTATTGCTTCTTCTTTTGAATACTTTGTCGCACTCTCTCGCCATATTTCTCGCTAACTCCTCTTCATTACGGTTTGCCTCTGGCGGGTACAGTCCTATGCATTTCTCGGCATATCTTCTTCGAGTTTCATTGGTCACCCTCCATCCTGTCTGTTTATGCGTTTTCACGATGTCGTCGTTATAATTGTTATCTTCAATTGTAAAGAGAATTGTTCTATGGTCGCTAAGATTGTCATACTGGTCTTCTACTACCCATTCTTTTACCTTTTTACCCAAGTTTATGGTCACCAGACCTCCAAAATCTCACCTTTTTTATTTGATTTAGTTGACCCTGTTAGTATCATCTTTGCATTGAAATCTCCTCCGAGCAATACTTCCTTATGATATAGTCTTAAAGCTATCTGGATATTATATAAAAATTCTTTAAATTCGTCCAAAGGGCGATTTGGTGAAAAATAGCACGAGCATATGACAAAACACATTAACTCCACACAGACAAAACCACATCCTTCATAAACACTCAACACCGACAGATCGTTATAAATATTCGCAAAAGCATCACAGTTCTTATCACAATACTGAACATTCCTATTTCTTTGGTTTTGTTCACAGCCTATTATCACATCGATTAGTTCCTCCTCTATTCTCTTCTCCAACATTTCGTGCGCCGCGTACACTCTGTTAAAATTCATCTGGGCCACATTTAGTGTTCTTTTTTTAGTCGCTATCTTATTAACCTTTTTTTTTTATTAGCCATTTCTGACGAGGGTGATTTACGTCTCATTTTAATAAGGAAGCATCTGTGGGGCTTTGTCTGCCTTTCTTTTCGTCTTTCCTCGCTTGCTTCTTTTTTCTAGTTACCTCTGTGAACTTAATCTCTTCCTCTTCCCCCTCCTTGGGCTGATTCTTTTCGTTTTCTCGCTTTTCTCCTTCGCTTTCTTCCTCCTTGCTCTCATCTCTCTCATTCGTCGGGCATTCCTCAAGCGTTTCTTCCTTTCCCCCTTTCATCTTATTTCTGTATTCTGGGCACATATTTGTACTTGCTCTGTGTCCTACCCTTTTGCAGTCTGAACATCGTGCTTCGCTCTTGCAGTCCTTCGCTTTATGGTCTTGACCCCCACAATTAAAACACCACGTACTCCTATCTTCTCCACAACAATCCCTAGCTAAGTGTGTTGGTGACCAGCATCTAGAGCATTTCTTTAACCCCTTCCTCTCTTCCACCTGGCACATGGTCAGTCCTACCCGTACTTTCTTCTCATTCAGCATTTGGTCTGCTGCTGTCTTTTCCATCTCAACTGTTATCGCCTTCATGTATCTAGCGTATGGTCTCAAATTACTGGTCTTAAACTCTATTTCTTGGCCCACCGTGTTTCTAATGGCTTCTTCTACTTCTTTTATTTCGGCGGCTGACGTCATCCCTTTTATATTTATCGTTTTCGCCTCCTTTCCCCTCATACCTCTAACTGTTATTTTATGTCCCTCCTGTTCTCTTAAAATCTTCTGTATCGCATTTGTTCCTTTTTCATAACCCAACCCAACCCAACCTTTTTTTTTTTTTTTTTTTTTCGAGAGGTCGGGGATAATCTGTAATCAAACACCTGACCTAGGATGTTGGTCGGTCAGGTAGTGTCGGGTTGGAGCCCATCTTTGGGTCTCCGACCGACTAAAAACCCCTTTCCTCATCCTTCCACGGAAGTCGGAAATACGCTGTTGCGTTTTGACCATCGACCACCGCAGGTTGACTCATTCATATTTCTCCTTATCTCTGTTATCACCCTTCATTGGTCTCTCCGTTCGTTCATTGGATGCCGAAAACAAACATAACACACGAAAGACTTTTTACTGCGTTTCAACAACGACTTACCCGGGCGAGGGGTCGGAGTGACCCCTCCTTCTTCTGTTCTTCACTGCTACCATCCATCTTCATAACTACTTGTGCCCAGGGTTCTCTTTTTCCATCATTGGCTGAGTCTCCACCTCGTTGCATCCATCCACACGCATCAGCCTCCATCGGAAACTAAAAATACATCTCACACGAAAGACTTTTTCAGTAAATATTTACACCTTACATACCCGGATGAGGGGAGCCATAGGACTCCCCTCTCCCTTGGTCCGCTGCTGCGGCCACTTGTCCTACACCTGTTTGTCTAACTCGCTCTTCATCTTCCTTTTGAACCAAAACCTTTTTTATAAACGCTGCTATAGAATCCCACTTCTCAGTACTAGTCAGCATTTGTTCTATCGTATTTTCCGGAGTAATCTGTACCCTTAGGGAATTGCATATATGCCTTCTATTTTGATTCCATCTCGGACAGCGGTAGAATGTATGTTCGACATCATCTCTCTCCCCGCAATAATCACATATGTCCGTAGTTGCTCTGTTATGTAGGTGTAAATAAGCCTTATAGCAGCCATGTCCTATCAGGAATTGACTTAGGTGGTAGTCCACCTGGCCCCAGGCCCTGTTCACCCATGACTCCAAATCATACACAATTCTCTTCGTCCATGCCGCTTTGCCTGTGTTCATGCGCCACCTGCGCTTCCATTCTTCCAACACTTCTTTCTTCAGATCAGACTCGTCACCAACCTTCTCCCAGCTTGCTGCTCTTCTCTTGATCATCAAGTCTACTGGTAGTGAGCTTCCCACTACTTGTAATGCTTCTGTCGAGCTAGTTCTGTAGGCACTTAAAATTCTAATCAAGATTGCTCTTTGTACTCTAGTAATTTTTGTTATATTTTTTTTTACATCACACGCATCCTTCCAAGCTCTGCAGGCGTATAACAATTGGGCATAGATTGTAGACCCTATCATTCTTCTTTTCTCTGCCGTCGGACCAAACGTAGATCCCATGATCCTATACAAGGCGTGTACTGTTCTTTGCGATTTCATCACTATCGAGTCAACGTGTTGGTTCCATTTCAGATCTTTTCCCAAGGTGACTCCCAGGTACTTGAGCGAGTTTTTTGTAGTTATCTCTACATCCTTCACCATAAGTTTAATATTTTCAGCGCTCCTCCCACTTCTTAGCATTATCGCCTCCGTCTTCTCCGAGGCCACCTGCAGCCCCATACCCTCCATCTTCTCTACGATGCTATTTACTACTCTCTGAGCATTATGTTCTACTTCCTCATGGCCCCAGCCTGGTATTATAATCGCGAGGTCATCCGCATATGCAATTAGTCGTGCATCGCTGCACTTGATGTTTGTGTTCAATAGTTCGTCGAAGAAGACATTCCACAGGAGCGGCCCCAGGACAGATCCCCGAGGAACGCCTCTGGTCATCTTGTACCGAGTCCCTTCGTATTCAATATACCTCTCACTCAAATAGGATCTTATCATATTTATCATGTGTCTAGATACTTTCTTTTCTATCAACGCGTCTACTATTTTACCCCACGGCGCAGTTCCAAACGCATTTTCACGTCAATAGTAATCATCAGACACATCTTTTTCTTTTCCCTTCTAAATTTATCACACTTTCTAGCCTCTGCTATGACCTCTTCGATTGCATGCACCGTCGATCTCCCTTTCATGAATCCAAATTGTTTCTTTGATAGGCCTCCATTCTGGTCTAGTTCATTATTGATTCTATTTTTTAGTAGGGTTTCAAATATTTTGCCAAAATTATTTAACAAACACAGCGGTCTATACCTCTTCTGTTCTCCGCTTCCGGGTTTCTCAATCAAGACCAATCTACCGATCTTCCACTGTTCCGGAAAACAGCCATTTTTCATAAGTCTATTATACATGTCTGTGATTTTAGGTAATTCAGCCATCACAGCCTCTTTCGCTATTTCCGACGTCACGCTATCCGGTCCCGGAGCTTTTTTGTTTTTCAAGTTGTTTACTGCTGCAAGCATTTCTTCCCTTGTCACCTCTACGATATTCTCGGCGATCTCTCCATCAGGTTCTCTACACCACGTCTCTTCTTTTCCTTCTGGGAATAATTCACGTATGAGGATAGCTGCTTCATGCGTACTTATGGTCGTTTTGCAGATATTCCTGGTTTTCTTTATCGCTATGATGTATGCGTCTCCCCACACATTGTTCTCTAACTCATTGCATAACGCTCTCCATGCATCTCTTTTAGCCTTTTTGATTGCTTTTCTCAGGTTTCTCTTTACTTCATTGTACTCTCGTATAGCACTTCGCCTATTTTCTTCATTGTCTATCCTACGGTTTTCCCTAGTTATTTTTCTTCTACATTTGTTTGCCTCGTCTCTCGCTGTCTTAACGTCATTATTCCACCAATATAGGTAACCTTTTCTAATGTTGGCACCTTTCCTTCTCCCATATGCTTTATCACAAGCCTCTGTTGTCGCATTTATTAACCATTTAGGATTCAGGTTTACCCATTGCTGAGCCTTCCTACGAAATTCCACCTTAAAGGCTTCCACTTTATCTTCTTTCCGAGACCATTTTGCCTGATTCATTATACGTTCGCTTTTCTTATTGGTGTCTGTGTAGATTTTAAATGTTATATAGAGATGGTCGCTGAGATTTTCAACATCGTTCACTTTCCATTCAGTGATACATTTAGCCAACTCCACATTGCACATTGTTACGTCTATATTTGATTGCTGTTCCCCTCTTTTCCATGTGGGGCTCATTCCGCTATTCATAGCAACAAGGTTTCTCTCAGCCATCCACTCATTTAGTAATCTTCCCCTTTCGTCCTCCACGTTGGATCCCCACGCTGCAGACTTGGAGTTAAAGTCACCCAGTACAATCATATTTTTAAAATTAGTTTGGACTATAATATTCGTGATGTTTTCCAATTTATCTTTAAACTCGCTGAGAGATTCATTTGGTGTAAGATAACATCCAATTATCACTCCGAAATCCATGTTAACAACCACAAAGCCACAACCACTCACACTACCATACACAGCAAGGTCGTCATTTACTATCTTCACGGCAACATCACTATCACAATTTCGATACCAATTTCCACTTTTCACTTTGTTTTTATTTGGTTCCGACAACATCACGACATCTACACCCTGTTCACTAACAAATAACTCCACTAGGTTCATCGCTTCTGTACTTCTGTTCACATTGGCCTGTAATATATTTATGGTGCACATCGCGATTTGGATTCCATAGTCTCAGGCCACTCAAAACCCGCCATACTTTCATCTTTAGCAGTCCATAGCACCACATCGCTCTCCCTATTACTTTTCTCTGACGCTTCTCTCCCCTTTGTCTTTGTCTGTCTGTTCTCTCTCCTCAATTTCGTTAGAGCCTCTCTGAAAGTTCCGCATCTTCCGGACCCCGCTTTATGGCCTTCTTTATTACATACTGGGCAGAAATTCTGGTTGTTACAGTTCCCAGCAGCATGTCCCTCTTTTCCGCAGTTAAAGCATAGATCTTTTCTATTGGGACCTTTACAATCTCTAATAGCATGACCATAGCCCCAGCATCTATAACATTTAGCCACTTCGTACCTTTTTTCGAGGTCACATCGTGTAAAGCCTATTTTGATGTTTCTATTTATTAATAGTTTTTCAGCTCCCTCTTTCTCTAGTTTTATAGTCGAAGCTTTAGTGTCGTCGCGCATGGGACGTAGCTCCCCCACCTTCAGTTTATATTCTTTACCGCCCAGGGCTCCGATGATTGCTTCTCTGACTTCTTGTTCCGTCACCAAAGCATCCATTCCTCTTATATGTATTGTTTCAGTGTTATTATCATCCAGTCTCCTACAAACCATCTCTTCTCCACATTTATTTATAGCGTTATTTACTTTGTTTAATGCTTCTTCTTTCTTCTCCATCGTAATGAGCAGTTTCCCATTTTTTGTACTTTTAATACCCCTTATTTCTTCGGATATTCCCTCTTTTTTTAGAGTTTCCTTAACCTCTTTCAACGTCTCCGAATAGGACTTATCTTTACTCCCTATCACTAGAGCGTATGTGTTTCTTTCTTTTATGGGTTTTTCGGTCTTTCTGACCCCATAGTTTCTTGGCGTATGAATTTGTACCCTTATATTCAAGCCGTGAAATAGGCCCTCAAACATTTTTCTAAGCCTCCCCATGTCAAAATTCTCCAATACGTGAGCTGCTATTGTTGTTCCTTTCTTTACTTCTTTTTTTATTCTGCTGATCTTATTAAATAAATCCTCCTCCCCTTCCATGTACTGAATTTTATAAATTTTTCTTTGTCCGTTTTTCGTTTTTTCTAGTCCCCCGATCTTGTAAGACTGCTCCACGACCCCTATATCTTCCTCGATTAAGCCCCATTCTGGGTATCTATCCCTATATAATTTCTGGATACCTTTCTGCATATCCTTGTCTTGTGGGTCGACCATAACCAATTTTATTATGTCATCGTCCGTGGTAATTGGATTTGCTTCTTTAATTTCTGTGTTTTCGTAAGCCTGTTCCGCCCACTTCTTTTCCGCCAGTTCCTTCCACTCTTCGTAATTATTGGTTTCTTTAATTATATCAATCTCTCC